ATATATATATGATGGAGAGAAGTGGCCCTAAAATGGAACCCTGGGGAACCCCATGATTGATGGATTGGTATACATACATAAACATATTGGTGTCTTCCAGACAGATAACTATGAAACAGGTGTAGCGCTAGAGAATGCTGATTGTCAGCTTTCCCACTGTGGCGGCTGTGCGGCAGTGCAGTGGGTGTGCAGTAGCACAGCTCACAAAATCAAGATGATCGTTGAGTTTGTGGTAAAAGTCTCAAATTAAAGTTCCTGTTTGCAGAGGAAGTGATGTGTTTTTTTAAATCACGCCACATTTCTGTGGATTAATGACCTCACATAACACAAATATAAACGTGTTTGTAGATCAGGGAACATGTAACCAGCTGCTCTCCGCACTGAGCAGGTTTCCATGGTAACATATGAGACGTGCGGTGGCAGGTGGGTAAACTGAAGGAGACACGGCATCCTCAGATTCAGCTCGTTGACAAAACATTGATGTGATAAAGAGATTTGGCCGCAGGAAGCAGCAGTTCAGTCTCCATGAGGAGGACAGCAGACACTGAGGGTTACCTGCTTGGCTCAGGCTGCGTGCTGATTGGCCAAGACTGAGCGTGACAGGAAGCTTATCAGCGTCAGACTGTTTTCACTTTAGATAAAGGACAGTTGTTTTTTAGCTGTGAAGATGTGACATTCACACGCAGCTCGGATCAGATCTGTCTGATGTCACGTAAACAAGCTGGTTAATCAGTGTGAGACGTCTGCTGAGGGGTAAAGATGGCGTCTGCTCAGAGAGATGACCTTTTCCTCTTTGTGTCTGTCTGTCAGATCCCATGCACGGCCCACGGCATCTCGAGGTTGTCGACATTCAGTCCAAACAGGTGACGGTAAGATGGGAGCCATTCGGATACAACGTGACCCGCTGCCACAGCTACAACCTGACTGTACAGTACCGCTACAGACCTGCGGGGGCTGCCAGCAGGTACATACAGGACCTGGGGAGGGGGCAGTATTTTTAAAAACAGTGACGTAATGAAAGGGAGGGGCCAACAGTGAAAGAGATGTGACATATAGAGAGGAAGGGGCCAACATTGAAAAAAGGGGGAGGGGCCAACATTTAAAGAGTAGTGACTCATACAGAGGGAGGGGCCAACATTGGAAAAAAACGGGAAGGGCCAGCATTTGAAGAGTAATGACTTTTACAGAGGAAGGGGCCAACATTTAAAGAAAGTAAACCACAGAGAGGGAAGGGCCAAGTACGTCCTGGTAAAGGTAAACACGGGGATACACCAACAGGCAAATAAGCCCCTCCCTCTTCTTCCTCTCTCCTGCAGGGAGCCGGTGAAGGAGGTGGTGTATGACACCCTGAGCGTTGTGCCGCAGCACATCGTGCGTAACCTTCCGCCGTTTACCAACGTCAGCCTGAGACTCGTCTTGAGTAACCCAGAGGGACGCAAGGAGAGCGAGGAGTTGCTGGTGCTGACGGACGAGGACGGTATGACACTGTCCATCAGTCAACTTCTGTGCTGTTCAATAAGTTTTTAAAAACTTAAATGTTTGTGTCTCAGTTCCCGGAGCTGTCCCCGTGGATTCAATCCTCGGCAGTAGTTATGAGCAGCAGATCAGTCTGAGCTGGAGGGAGCCGCTGCAAACGTATGGCCTCATCCGACAGTACGAGGTAAACCCACTGATTCGACATCCTACACATCACGCCATGATGTCACCATCTTCATCATGTCTCAAAGCCCCGCACCTATTGCTGCTCACACATGGTCCACGATGAGGGGCTAAAGGTGTTCCAAAGTTAAGAGAGGCCAACATTTAAATAAAAAGACATAAAGAGCAGAAGGGGCCAACATTTAAAGACAGTTAAGGGCGGAGGGGCCAATATTTAAAGAAGGTAATGTAGAGAGTGGGAGGGGCCAATATTTAAAGACAGTTAAAAGGGGGAGTGGCCAAAAAATAAATAAAGAGACAGTTAAGAGTGGGAGGGGCCAATAATTAAATAAAGAGACATGAAGAGTGGGAGTGGCCAACATTTAAAGACAGTTAAGAGTGGGAGGGGCCAATAATTAAATAAAAAGACATAAAGAGTGGGAGTGGCCAACATTTAAAGACAGTTAAGAGGGGGAATGGCCAATAATTAAATAAAGAGACATAAAAAGTGGGAGTGGCTAACATTTAAAGACAGTTAAGAGGGGGAGGGGCCAATAATTAAATAAAGAGATATAAAGAGAGGGAGGGGCCAACATTTAAAGACAGTCTAGAGGGGGAGGGGNCAGTTTAGAGGGGGAGGGGCCAATAATTAAATAAAGAGATATAAAGAGAGGGAGGGGCCAACATTTAAAGAAAGTAATGTAGATAGAGGAAGGAGCCAAAGGTCAAAGGCCAACATTTAAAGACAGTTAAGAGGGGGAGGGGCCAATAATTAAATAAAGAGATATAAAGAGAGGGAGGGGCCAACATTTAAAGACAGTTTAGAGGGGGAGGGGCCAATAATTAAATAAAGAGATATAAAGAGAGGGAGGGGCCAACATTTAAAGAAAGTAATGTAGATAGAGGAAGGAGCCAAAGGTCAAAGGCCACTGTGACCTTGAGTCTGTCCCCATTGTTGTAAATGTGATATAAATCTATAAACAGCCTTCTGGGAATTTCCTCAAATGTGGCACAAACGTCCACCTGGGCTCCAAAATCAACTGATTAAAATTTGGAGGTCAAAGGTCAGTGTGACCTCACAAAACATGTGTTTGTCCATAACTTAAGCAAATGACAGGATAAGATAATGAAGGTCAAAAGTTAAACTGACAAACTAACGATAAGAAAATACGTTTTTTGATCTTGCAATTAAGATTCTGAAAGAAAAGAATTTTGTCTGATCAATGTGTCATTTATCCATTCCAACTTTAGCTCGAACGTAGCAGTGTTAGCAAAACAACTAATTTTCCAGGAACTGCTGAATGCACTAAAGTTAGGGCCGTAACGGTACATGTATTTGTGTTGAACCGTTCGGTACGCGACTTTCGGTTCAGCACGACCCTGTACCGAATTATTGGGCGCAGGATATTATTTTATTTTATTTTGTTATATTCTAATTCCGTTTTTGCGAGCCGAACCATTTAAAATATCTAGTTCCCCGACGGACATAATTGAGTGACGGACCGAGTCCGACCGCAAATCTCCACTTTCACTTTGTGCAGCGCACTCTCGCATTTTGACAACATGGCAAATGAGCCTGACGAACCTGAAGACCCAACAGCAAACCTTAAGTCCTCCGTTTGGGAACACTTTGGTTTCAGGGTAAAATACGAAGATGGAAATAAACAAGTTGACAAGACAAAAGCAGTGTGCCGACACTGCAGAACAGCGGTCGGGTATGTACTTGGAAACACGTCTAACATGCTAACGCATCTAAAGCGACACCACCCGAGTTTGAACGTTAACCGGCACGACTAGAAAAAGCAATCTGGTGCAAACTACGATATTGTCGTCATTTAAAAAAAAAGAGCGTTTCCCTGACCATCGTGCTAAAGAAATAACCAACGCCACTGGAGTTGAGTAAAATTGTTTAAGCTGCACTTAAGATATAAGCATGTTTTGTTTACTGCACTTTAACAAAGTGGGAAAGCTAAGTAAGTTCCTAGTAAAACTGAATCTGAGCAGGCTTTAAAGCTGACCAGCTGCACTATACTTTTTATTTTAATTGAGTAAAACTGTTAAAGCAGAAATGTACATTTATATTTTTCATTCAAAAAATGTGTAAAAAAACAGCAGGATTTTATTTTTCACTTTTATATTTCTATTTTCATTCAAACAATGTGAAAAAGCAGGATTTTATATATATTTGTTTCATTCAAAAATTGTGTAAAAAGAGTTAACTGCTGTGGTGGTATGTTTTAATAAGGTTACCAATAAGTAAAAGATATTTAATAGTTGTCTATTTTTTTCATTACTGTACCAAAAAAAAACCGAACCGTGACTTGTGTACTGAGGTACGTACCGAACCGAGATTTTTGTGTACCGTTACACCCCTAACTAAAATCTGTTTGAAGTTTATTTTGGCGTGCGAATGACTTCACTAACAGATCTGAAGTTGAAAATAACACAATTAGTTAAAACTGCCACCTTTAAAATATGAATGTAAACCAAAATCAGATTTACAGTAAAGACTCCATCACCCACAATCCCCAGTGAGGCAGCCAGACATTAATGTGGTCCTCCTTCACAGATCTCCTACAAAGCCCTGAGCTCCTTCGACACAGAGTTCGACCTGTCTAATCAGAGCGGGAAGGTGTTCAAACAGGCCAATGAGACGAGCCACGTGTTCACAGGCCTCTACCCAGGCTCCACCTACTCCTTCACAATAAGAGCCTCCACCATTAAAGGCTTCGGGCCTCCAGTCATCACCCAGTTCACCACCAAGATCTCAGGTGAGTCTCCAACAAGATCTCAGGTGAGTCTCAGAAATGTCAACACCAAACAAATGAAGACACTGACTCCTTCCTCCTCCTCCCTCTCTTCCTCCTCTTCCTCCTCCTCCTTCTCAGCTCCTCTGATGCCGGCGTATGATCAAGAGTCTCCTCTCAATCAGACAGACTCCAGCGTCACTGTTCTGTTGAAACCGGCCCAGAGCCGGGGAGCCCCCGTCAGGTAACACACACACACACTCACAGATGTTGAAATATTCAGCAGCATCAATCTTCGTCTTCATCAAGTTTTCATGAGCGAGACGTTAAACATTAAAACAGGACATGAAGAAGAAGCTGCAGCTGAAACTGTCACATCCACATCAGTTGTGACGAACTACAGCTCTGACCTTTAAACTGTTTTTGAACGAACAGATCAGTTTATTCCTGTTAAATATTCATCTCACTTCAGCACCAAAGATCACAAACGTTTCAGTTACAGCGAATCAGATGAAATCTGAAGATACGAGTGTTGTAATCATCATTTAAAAGCCTGCAAGTGTTTTAAAGCTTTGAATGTGACATGTCTTGACATTTAGATTGACTGTCATAAGCCCCGCCCTCTTTAAGCAATCATTACCAAACTTTATGTCCCGACTGAGTCTTGACTCCAGATGGTCCGAACAGAAGTTCATATTTGTCCCTGCAGCTGATTGTAAGATATAAACTTTCTGCATTTGTGGCACCCTCTAGTGTCAGAATATCCCAAGGCTACTTAGCGAAGCTCAGACAAAGTATCCGCACATGTGCACCGAGTTTGGTCACGACCACTGTTGCCATATTTGATTTATGAGTATTTATGTAAATTTGGACTTAAACACAAATGTTTGTTTGTGAAGCCTTTCTGACCCAAGCACAGCGCCCTCTGGTGGAGACATCTTGTCTCTTTCTCTTTTATTCTTTGCTCTGTTTTTCTCATTTTGATGCTGATTATTCAACATTTGCTCTTCTTTTTTTTTTGTTGTCACTTTTTAACATTTAGAGTTAAAGCTCAGTGTCAGCAGGTGTGTCTACGTACAACACAACATACAAACAAAAACAACAGACAAAAACTAAACAGTGTACCTCATACAGAGACAAATAATCATACAATAAGATTTCATATTGACAGAACAATATATTCCAAACTAGTTTAACCGCAACAAGTACAGATTGTCAAAAAGAAGGTCTTCCTGAAGAGATGAGAACAGAGACCTTCCTCACACCTACCTTCCTTTGATAACTTTAGATCAACGATGTGCGTAGATGATTCTGCCAATGTTCCGGGACGACTGGACCAACAAGTACACGAAAAAATGATTTAGAGAAAACTGAGAAAAAAACACAAAATTCTGAGCAAAGATGCAGGTGGAGTAAGAGATGACTACAATGAGAGAATTGTGACTGTAAGCTGAGCTGGTCTCAAGATAATTGTCAAAACAGCGCCACCTTCAGGTCAGTGAGTGTCTTTGATTTGTGCCTGAGTAGTGGGCACACACACTTTTCACTGAGTAAAATAAGAAGAAAGAAGAATAATGAGAGCTAAAGCATCAGAGCAGCTGCAGCAACACATTGAAGTGATGTCGTTGAATGTTTGTTAGCGTGTTGGATGTGTTTCTGGTCATGACGCCGACACACCATCCTTGTCTTAAACACAGCTAGGGTGGCAGAGATATATGTATGTTCCAAGGTGATCACACCGTGTACGTTTGCCTATCAACGAAAAAAAAAGGCAACCAGATTGAAAATCTAACTGCATATGTTCTCGGACTTTTTACACATATTTACATTAAAAAATGGTTTGAAGTTTCAATTATTAAAAAACAGTTTGATTTTAAAATTAAAATTAAATTTAAAAATGTTTTGAAATTTCATTGACTGAAACTGTGAAGGATAAAAATGATTAAAATGTAAATAAAATGTTTTCGTCTCACAACTAAGACGAAATCTAAAATAGCTGTCAGAATTAACACCAACAAACAAAGAAGGCAGAAGGCCGCCTCGGTCTGTTTAAACTAAAAGGGTTGCACCAATATGTCTACCATACAAGGTGGAAAATTGGGCACCTCGGATCAACTCGCCAATCCGGCTCTGTGTCTCTAAACGCTCGCAACATTCGCCGAAAATCTGGCAGTGTAAAAGGGGCTTTTGATAAACCTGAGAATGAGATGTTACAGTGGACATGTGAACAAGTTCTCGTTGTCTTCAGATAGAGGGCGATATTTCTAACTGAAGACAAATTTTACGGCAGACGGCAGTCTACTCGATGTCGGACGCTGCGAAGCTGAACCAGTTCCAGATGACTGAAGAGACAGTCTTTCTTTTTTTAGGGAATGAACTTGTTCCTTCCTTCATAGCACACGCCGCCACGTTGAGACCGCTGTGAACGCCACGATGAACTACAGGAGCCCAGCTGCAGCAAAATACACCATAATGACTGTGATTAACCAAGTTAACGTGAAAATGGATTTTCATTTTTAGACACCGTCCCACACTGTGAGTTCAGATGAAGATATAAAATAGATCAGCTCTTAATATGAGTTTTAATTTTTTTAATAAACCTAAACGTTCACGCTGGACATTTTGTGTCCTCTGGTCTGAAAGACGCCGTCTCATAGAAACAAAACAGCCCAAAACCTGTAAAGTGAGCAGCACATAAAGAACTCACCTGGACCTGAGCTATCATCAGTGTGTCAGCGTCAGAGGAGCTTCTTCCTGTCTGGACAGGAAGCTGAGACACAGAGCAGGAAGAGCAGGTGATGTCGTTTTGTCTTTTTATTATTAAATCAGGAGATTTTTTTTACTCAGATATGAAAGTGAACGATGAAACATTGATGTGAGTGTTGTGATCGTCCGATGAAGAATTCAGCAGATTAATGGAAACTCAGTTATTTATTTATCTGATGAGACGTTTTCATCCGTCAGTCGTCGTCTGTTTGTCTCCACTGTTTCCTTCTTGGATTTGAATGCAGATAATTACCACTGCAAACTTTCTACAGTCTGACTCAGACACACTCTGCTAAATCTCTGTTGTCGGGGCCCACGGGGAGGCTGTATCCGCGGTAACAGTCGTCATATCAACAGCTGTCTGCTCTCCGTCGTCGGGCTGTAACGAGGGATTTGGTTAATTAACGATCAGCGGGCGGGGCTAATCAGAGCCTGCTGCTAACACCGAGGATTAACAAGGGATTAACAGCTAATGTGTCAATCACACACAAACACACACAAACACACACAGACACACACAGTCACACATAAACACACACAAACACACACAGACACACACAGACACACAGTCACACATAAACACACTGAGCGCTTCCTTGCCTTTCAGTCAGGAACACAGAGATGCTTAGGCTCGTCTCTTGTTATGAACGGACGCTTTATCTCTGCGACGCAGTGAAAGCGACACAGACGCTTTGTTCTCCTGATCAGGTAGAACAACACACATCATCTGTCTGTGAACGGCACGTCAGAGCCCAGACGTCGGCCGCCTGCCGTCAGCAGGGCCGCTCTGACCTTTAACCCTTTCAGACCCACCAGATCCCGGCCAACACTCCTGTCTGTCAAAGGTCATAGAGGGCAGAGTTTAGAGCTGGTATCAAATGCAGCTGGAACTCCTCCTCAGTGGTACCGGGTGCTTCATGGCCATTTTCACAGTGGCCTCCTTGACCTCTGACCTCCAGATATCTGAATGTAGGAACCAAGTCTCCCTTTCACAGACGTGTCCTCTCTATGTTAGACCCAAACTTTTTTTTTGGTAAAAAAAAAAAGTATGACAGAGTGAGTTATTTTCACCTGTTGTTTTTGAACGTTTCTGCAGAATCGAAATCGAAAAAATTACACGTGAAGACTCGACGTCAAAGATCCAACGAGCTCAGTTTTAGTCATGTGTGAAGATGTATCTGTGTTATTGTCACAAGACCGTTTTGTTTAACCATCACGCCCTCACTGCGACCTTGTCACATGTCCACATTTGGTCATCAACATATGACGTCACTGTGTCAACTTCAGCCTGTTACATGCATCGTCTTTTTTCAAAATACACCTCTGTTTTCACAGGAAATGTACAGTTTGCATACAGTCTCTTTCAAAATAAAAGCACTACATTGATATAAACACCAACTGATGTTTATTTACTTCAACAACACACACATGGTTACATTTAGCCAACACACACACACACATGGTTACGTTTAGCCAACACACACATGGTTACGTTTAGCCAACACACACACCTGGTTACGTTTAGCCAACACACACACATGGTAACGTTTAGCCAACACACACACGTGGTTACGTTTAGCCAACACACACACATGGTTACGTTTAGCCAACACACACACATGGTTAGGTTTAGCCAACACACACACGTGGTTGCGTTTAGCCAACACATACACATGGTTAGGTTTAGCCAACACACACACACACACGTGGTTACGTTTAGCCAACACACAGACATGGTTAGGTTTAGCCAACACACACACGTGGTTACGTTTAGCCAACACACACACATGGTTAGGTTCAGCCAACAAGATCGCACATCTCAAGGGACTTTATCCTGATAAACAAATTTTAATACATAAAGGTCAGGGTCTTATCTCTGTAGTCTGAGTGGGCGGAAGTTCGCTGCATAGATCAGCCTCTCATTGGGCAGAATGAGCCACCCTCTGAAGTCCTGCCCTACCACCTCTGGTTGTGTAGCAGTTTTCAACGCGTCCTTTACTAACTTTTGCGCTGTTTGATCTTGCGGGGATGTAGCCATTTTTCTGCCATGGTTCGTGTCCTGTAGGTGATATTTTTGTGGGCATGTTACACCAAAACCTGTTTCCCCCCGGCAATATTTTTGCAAGCGCACCGTTGCTGTGGCACTGCCAAGAACAACCACAGGGTCAACTGGTGGGTGGAGTCATACAACCACAGGGTGGGCTGGTGGGCGGAGCCATACAACCACAGGGTGGGCTGGTGGGAGGAGTCATACAACCACATGGTGGACTGGTGGGCGGAGCCATACAACCACAGGGTGGGCTGGTGGGCGGGGTCATACAACCACAGGGTGGGCTGGTGGGCGGAG